TAGAGATCCAAGTTACAGGATATTGTGGCTTTGTCGATAACCGAAGCCGAGTATGTGTCTGCAGCAGAGGTAGCAAAGGAGTTGCTATGGTTAAAGACTTTTCTTCTCGAACTTGGAGTAAGTTTTAAGAAATACTTCATCCACTGCGACAGTCAGAGTGTTATTCACTTGTCAGAGAACGACGCATTTTATGCTCGGACCAAGCATGTTGACGTGAAGCACCACGTCATACGGAGATGGCAAAGCAGGAACGAGTTTAAGTTTATGAAGATTAATACGAGGTACAATCCAGTCGATATGCTGACCAAGCCAGTTCTATTCAAGAAGGTGAGGCTGTGTACAGCCTCATATGGCCTCCGTTGAGAACGTTGAGAGTCGTGCAAGATGCTAAATATACAAGACATCCGGATAATGCAATCAAGGAAGATTGAAGATATGATTGATACTCAGTCAAATCTTCAAGTGGGAGATTGTCAGCTTACCAATTTTGAAAATCAAAGTTCGGTGACCACTTTGTTTGAAATTTGAAAAAAGGATACGGGTCTCGCTAGTTAATTATTATTAGTGACGGATCCCACTAATAATATTTTATTAGTGCATAGTATTTCCCAAACACTATAAATAGGATCCTAAACTCTTAAGAAAGACTCATCCCAGAAACAACTCCTCTTATAGAAGAATAAGAGAAAACATAGAGAGAGTTTGTGAGAATTCTTGGAGAGTATCTTGATCAAGAGAGGGTGTTCTCTTTGATTATTTTCTTTTGGAGTATAAAGAAATTAGGCGGCGGCGTTGCACCGTGGAGTAGCTCGTAAGAGTGAACCACGTAATATCTGTGAGTACTCTGATTGAATTTGTGTCTACTAAATTTTATTCTGTGCCCATTTGGGTGTGTATTGCGTCTCCGTTTGAGGTGTACTGATTGGCATTGTTGTTAGGATACACACCAACAATAACGCCTCGAACGGAGACATAATACACAGAATAAAGACACAAAAATTAATCACAGTACTCACAAATATATGTGGTTCACTCCTTCGAAGCTACTCCACGGTGCAACAACAACGTCAAATTCTTTTATATCCCAAAAGAATAGATCAAAGAGAACATCTTCTCTTGATCAGATACATCCCAAAAACTCTCACAATCTCTCTCTGTGTTTTCTCTCTTTCTCTTCTATGAATGGAGTTGTTTCTGGGATGAGTTTTTCTTACGAGTTTAAGGCCCTATTTATAGTGTTTGGGAAACACTATGCACTAAAAAAATTATTAGTGGGATCAGTCACTAATACTAATTAACTAGCGGGACCCGCATCCTTTTTCCAAATTTTAAACAAAGTGGCCACCGAACTTTGATTTTTAAAGTTGGTAGGCTGACAATCTCCCACTTAAAGATTTGACTGGGTATCAATTATATTTTCACACCTTTCTTGATTGCATCATCCGGATGTCTTGTATATTTAGCGTCTTGCACGACTCTCAACGGAGGCCATATGAGGCTGCACACAGCCTCACCTTCTCGAGTAGAACTGGCTTAGTCAGCATATCGACTGGATTATACCTCGTATCAATCTTCACAAGCTTGAACTTGTTCCTGCTTTGCCATCTCCACATGGCATGATGCTTCACGTCAACATGTTTGGTCCGAGCATGGAATGCATCGTTCTCTGACACGTGAATGGCACTCTGACTGTCGCAGTGGATGAAGTATTTCTCAAAACTTACTCCACGCTCGAGAAGAAAAGCTTTCAACCATAGCAACTCCTTTGTTGCCTCTGCTACAGACACGTACTCGGTTTCGGTTGTCGACAAAGTCACAGTATCCTGTAACTTGGATCTCCAACTTATCGCTCCACCACCCAAGATGAAGATGTAGCCACTCGTGCTCCTTCTTGAGTCTATGTCCCCTGTGTAGTCTGCATCACAAAAGCCCTCTAGCTGCAAATCTGTCATGTCATAGTGTCATACTCAAGACAACAGTCGGACAAGCATCTCAAGTAGCATAGAAGTCACTTCACCGCACCCCAGTGTTGTTTCATCGGAATGCTCATGAAGCGGCTCACACTCCTTGTGCAATATCTGGTCTTATGCACACCATCGCATACATCAAACTCCCGACGACAGATGCGAATTGTATGTTGGCCATGAACTCATGTTCTTCAGCAGTCTCTGGTGTTTGAGTCTTCGATAGCTTGAAATGGCTTGCAAACGGCGAGCCCACTGGTTTAGCTTTCTCCATGTCGAACTTTTCAAGAATCTTCTCAATGTAGACCTTCTGAGACAACATCAGCCTCTGTGTTGATCTGTCTCTGATGATCCTCATCCCCAGAATTTGGTTTGCTAAACCCAAACCGTTCATCTCGAAGCACTCGGAGAGACGCCCCTTGAGTTCTTCAATGCGGGCCAAGTCGGACTCTGCAATCAACATGTCATCAACATAAATCAAGAGTATCACATAGGATTCGTCATATCTCTTGATGAAGCAGCAGTGGTCTGTGTCACATTTGAGAAAATCGTTCTCCTCCATAAAGTTCCCAAACTTCATGTATCACTGTCGCGGAGCTTGCTTCAGGTCATACAAGCTCTTGCGTAGGCGACACACGAGGCCCTCCCTGTCTCGTTCCTCGAAACCCATTGGTTGATGCATATAGATCTCTTTCTCCAAATCTCCATGAAGGAATGTCGGTCTTCATATCCATCTGCTCTAGATGGAGATCTCGAACTGCCACAATGCTCAATACAGTCCAGATCGTGGTCAACTTGACGACGGGAGCGAAAACGTCAGAATAGTCTATCCTTGTTTTCTGCTCATAGCCCTTCACTACAAGTCTCGCCTTGTAGCGTCTCCGTCCATCAGCTTCATCCTTGACCCGATAAATCCACCGATTATGAAGAGTCTTTCTCCCTATTGGAAGCTTTACGAGCTCTCAAGTCTCATTCTTCATCAAGGACTTCATTTCTTCCTCCATGGCAGACTCCTATTTGCCCTGAGTTTTGCTGGTCTGTTGTACATCCTCATAACATTATTATACAATTGGGACTTTCAAAATCATAACTCAGGAATTGATGGTGAGGGTGAAGAGAGGAAGCGAGGTTTGAGGGCTAAGAGAGGAGGTGACTTGCTAGATTTATTCTCGCAGTCAGTTCACCACTCGTGTACCTATTTTGATATCAGTCCTTCAAATTTTTAACATTTTGATATTAGTTTCCCAAATCATTGAAATTTGAAATTAGTCTCCCAACTTTTATAACATTGAAATTGTTCTCCTTAGGAGCTGTTTAATTTGGGATGGAATATTCCTCTAAGTTGAACTAATTTGGGTCAAAACACTTCTTATTTGAGGGTCTAATTTCAAAATGTGGAGATTGGGGAACTACTTTCAAAACACTTAAAAGATTTGAGGGATTGGTTGCAAAGGATGAAGATTTAGGGATTACTTTTCAAACTTGAAAGGTTAATGTTGCATAGAGAACCAGAGAGAAATTTAGAGGATTAATTTTGAGAGATTGAGTTAGCTTATGCACTTTACTACCTATGAAAATACCATTAGCAAATTAGCCCTACTTACATTTTTTTCTTAGTGTTTTAAGGTGGGGCCAAGGCCCCCTTGGTCCAATGTGGCTCCGCCATCGACGTAAGTGTCACTTATAATGATTCATACATGTAAATTCGTACATTCCCACAAAAACTAAGAAAGAAAAGAAAAAGGACCTCTAAAGATGCAAAGATTTTACTTGAAAAGTGTTTTGTGTTTCTTCCTTGTATTTGAAGCTTCCCGAATGGCCGAATGTCAAGTCCTAACAGGAGAGTTGATGAGCTTTACCTGCAATAGAGTATGAACTGTATTGCCTTTCAAAAAATTTGGTATTTGGTTATCTGGAACACATGAGAAGGTTGAAGAATCAAGTTTGATTTAAGTAAACGTTTTGATTTCAGTTCAAAGCTCATGCAGCTCATCTTCCATCCTTGGATCTCATTTACTTTCAAGTTTCAACTATTCAAAAGATTCGACAAATTTGTTGTTGTGCCTAAACTATCTGCCCACCGTTCATTCATGATATTATGATTCAAACCTTCACAAACATGAACATGACCAAATACTTTAATCTTAAGCAGCATGGATATTGATAACAAGAGATTCTAATCAGTAATAATGATAAGAGTAAGATGTTTCACAATATGTAAATATATCATAATGAACGGATACTAATTTTCTCTTTTTCGATAGTAGTATCACATCAGTGCCAAGTGTACAACATGAGAACCTCCTAAAAATATGTCATGGACACACTAATTGTTTTTTGCACGCACATCTAGAAAAAAAAGAGTAGATAACACAAGAATTTAGTCATCAAGAAAGCAACGCCTACATTTATGCATCATTCTAATATTTTGTATACAAAAGTCCATTATTCCAATGAGTTGTGTTATACTCATAGTTTTGTTTCTTAAAATTGTCATTGGGATGTCCTAGAAGCTCCCTCAAATGGTCTGAGCGTGTGATACATTGATACAATATAAAACCTAAAACTTGGAAGTTTCTCAGAACAGTAGTTACTAGAAGCTGTATAGTAAGATTTAACTTTTATTATTATTATTATTATTATTTTGGACCATGCTCTGCACTAGTAAGTTGGCTGGCGGTTTGTATTTCAAGCTTTTTGGTAGACACAGTGCTACATATATTCTCTTGCGATGTGCCTGCTATTGTGACTTTCCTTGTTATGATGTCGATTTATTTTGGTTGGGGAGGAGTCGAGTGACCATATTCTGTATCTGTGCCTTATCTTCAAGGAAACATGGGGAGGGAGTTCTCTCTGTTAATTTCTCCACGAAATAAAATTAAAAATCTTTAGCTTAGTTCGATTCACCTTAGTTGGATGTTATAATGAGCACAATGATGGTTGCATTTCTTGCTTTTGTTTTCTTTATCAACTGAATTTTTTCTATGATAAAGATAGCATTCTGATGTTTCCACATTATTGTGTTGATTGTATCAGATAATTGAGACCTTCAACCCCTTGAAGAAGAACAAGGAGCATGCATCTGCTCCCTACACACATTCATAAAACCTCCTTCGCATGGCCAGAAAGTCCCTTCGCACTCCTCTGCGAAGAACAATATGCTGCTCCATGCCTCTCCTCCTCGTCCTCATCATCTCCCTTCCTCTCTTTATCATTCCAATCTTTCTTAATATCCAAAAAATTACCTATTTCCTCCGCCCAATTTGGGACACCCCTCCTCGCCCCTTCAACAAAATCCCCCACTTCTACTCTGAAAATATATCCAATTCCCAACTTTGCCAACTCCATGGCTGGTCTCTTCTTTCTTACCCTCGCAGAATCTTTGATGCTGTAATCTTCAGCAATGAACTCGACATTCTTGAGATCCGACACAGTGAGCTCTTTCCTTATGTCCATAAGCTCTTGGTCCTTGAATCTAATGTCACTTTCACTGGCCTCCCCAAATCCCTAACCTTTATCGAGAACGCTCATCGGTTCAATTTTGCTATGTCGAAAATTATCCATAGGAACTTTATAGGCCCACCTGATCCGAGCTTCTACAAAGACCCTTTCAAGATCGAGGCAATGCATCGTGCATCTCTCAACTCTATGTTGAGGGATGCAGGAGTCATGTATGGAGATGTAGTCATAATGGCAGATGCTGATGAGATACCGAGCCAGCACACTATGAAGCTTCTGCAGTGGTGCGATGAAATACCTTCAGTTATGCATCTAGAGTTGAGGCATTACTTGTATTCATTTGAGTTCCCAGTGGATTACAGTAGTTGGCGAGCATCTGCTCACTTAGTGAGATCATCTACTAGGTACCGGCACTCAAGGCAGACTGATTATTTACTGGCTGATGCTGGTTGGCACTGTAGCTTTTGTTTTAGGACGTTGGAGGAGTTTGTTTTCAAGATGAAGGCTTATAGCCATGCTGACAGGGTAACAAGTTCGAAATTTTTGGATTATTCAAGAATACAGAAGATAATTTGTAACGGGGATGATTTGTTCGATATGTTGCCAGAGGAGTATAGCTTCAGAGATTTGATGAAGAAGATGGGTTCTGTGCCTAAGTCGGCTTCTGCTGTTTATCTTCCTTCTTATTTGATAAAGAACGCGGACAGGTTCAGGTTTTTGTTGCCTGGAGGTTGTTTGCGTACGGATAGACCAAGACAATGAATAGGTTCCACGGTTGTAACTAGTTTTATGTGAGTTTTAAGTACGCAGAAGATTTATGGTGAAAACCTATAGTAATAGTGATGTAAAAGGTCAAGTTAAATTTTGGAAGTGTTATTAAATAGCGCATCTCATATCAGAGTCAATGGAGGAAAAGCGGAACTGTTATTTTATGTGCTAGTGATCTGCAACGGGAATTGATAACTTGGATCAGAGTTGCTGCATAATGATTTTACCTTCATTGTGTGCTACACTTATTCAACTAAATCCCTTTTGCGTCTTGATACATTGAAAGAACCAGCTTGGATAGGTTCAATCACTGTTATTTAGATCAGGTATTGGATAAAGATTGACAGATAATATTTAGGCGATGAGTACAAATTGGACTTTCACAGTATTCACAGAGGTTGGTTCAACTAGGATTGTGTTGGTGAATTTCTTATATATACTCAGGTTGACATGTAATTACCAATAAACAACACTGCTGAGTTCTACACTTCATTCAGCATCAACAAATGGTTAAAACAAAGACTTTCTAAGCGGCAAAAAATGAAGAAGAAAATGTCATAGCTGATCGCCTGAATGAATAGGTACAAAAAAATTCAGTTTATTGGTATTATTGTTCCAAATTATAAATCATCGAAAAAGATAACAATCACAGGTTTATATGGGGAGAGCCGCTTCTACAGACTGGAGCCTGAGAGTAACAGCCCTCTTGTGAGCTTCTAATCCTTCAACCTCTGCCATCTTCGCTACGTATGGACCTAGCTTCCTTAGCCCTTCTTCTGTTAGAGATTGCACAGTTATATACTTGAGGAAGGAGTCTAATGAAACTCCACTGTACATCCTCGCATACCCATAAGTTGGGAGGACATGGTTCGTACCACTTGCGTAGTCGCCTACGCTTTCTGGGCTCCATTGGCCCAAAAACACAGAACCTGCAATTATTTGCATGGAGGTGAAGTCGTATTGATCAGAAGAAAATATAGATAGGGTTGATTGCAAAGACCCCTTGTAGCATCACACTTTGGAAGTTATTAGTCCTGTAGTGTCGTGTATCCTTGTAGCATCACACTTTGGAAGTTATTAGTCCTGTAGTGTCACGTATTTGAACTTCTGACCCCTATTAACTGATTTTAGCTGGGCAAATTTGTTTTTGTGACTCCTTTGCATGGGAAAATTTCGGCAGATATTATCCCTAGTGAAATTGAGTCTACGGGTAAAAGAGTCAAGAATTTCATCCAAGGGGTCTATCTGCCAAAATCAAATTATAGGGGTAGTAAGTTCCAAAGTGCAATACGACAAGAGGGGTTATGCGCAATTAACTCTTATACTAATCACAACTAGATCTTCCTTAAAGCTAAGATGCAGACTTTATGGATCTTGGTCACCACTATATATTTAAGTATGACATGACGTGTCATAACACCACTTAAATAAGTGCCCAAAGAAGATTGTGAGACATCCAACTCATTGCAAAATTCAAAACTTACATGGGAGGGGGGGGGGCTAAGCTCAGCAGTCCTGGATGCCTTCATGCCATAAATTTTATAAAATATTATGTATATAACTAGCCATATCGAAAGGCTTAATTGCACGTAGACCCCGTTGCAGAATCAAGTTTTGGAAACTTATTATTCGTGTAGTTTGATTTTGGCAGATAAATCTCCTGGATGGATCTTTGACTCTTTTACCCTCAAATAGACTCCCTAATTTCTCCTAGATAAATCTGCCAAATTTTCACCTAGGGGGGGAGGGAGAGAGGGAGACCACCCCATGGGGTCTATCTACCAAAGTCAAACTTCATACTACAACAGGTCTATGTGCAACTAACCCTTTATAAATGTACGTAACTAACAATAGTGTAACTAACAATATGCATAGACAAGCAGACTCCAGAAATTTCAAGTTCTTAGTCTTAAGGCCATTAGGTTATGCAAAAAAGATTGATCATACAGGCTTCTATATACAGTTTTTAAATTGCTCTGGCATCCTGTTTAGTGCAGGAATTAGACAAGCATAGATGTTTCATCATTTCATCAGAAAGTACCTTTTTAATGTCTTATAGGTACAAAACTTATATGAGATTTAAGTTAAAACCAGCTGTGGATGATAATAGTTTAAATGTCAATCAATAAGTTACCTGCATTCTCAATAAGACCCTCCCATCTCTCTGCATCTTTAACATTAATAATTAAATGTTCTGGAGCATACAAGTTTGAGAACGAGATAGCCTGAAATGAAGAAAATGGAAATACTTAAAACTTATCCTACATTATAAGCAGCTTAGAATATGGTAAGTTGTGTCAGTAGTTAACCTCAACCATATCTCGAGCAAACACAGTGAAGCTATGGGCAAGTGCTTTTGAAGCATATTCTCCTCTTGGAAGGTTTGCACATTGTTTACTAATTTCACTCTCAATGGCACTGATGTCTACATCATCTCCAGCAATGACAAGAACAACCTGACTATCTGGACCATGTTCTGCCTGAAATATCAGCAAAATAGCCACTCAGGATCTCTTGCACTATATAAACCATATAATAATATGATCAGAATTCAGATAATTCCTATACATAATAATAAAATGAAGGAAGCAGGTAATGTTTTATGGGAATCTTCAGACAAGCCTTCCCAATATTAGTAAAGAATTGGGTAAATCATCTTCTTTCTGTTCTTATTATAGCCTTCTGCTGTCCCACTAGTACATTTAAATTATGGCTAAATAGCCTAGATTGTATAATACCACCCTAATTTTCTTTCTTTTTACACATAAACTATGGCTAAAATGAAGTAATTTAGATTAAACTAGAAATCTATAACCCATCGAATGAAGGAAGAAGTTCGAGAATAATACCTGTGATGTGCCTTCCTCCCTTTATTTTCTTTCATACTATTTTCTTTTAGTTTTATTCTTAGCTGGATATTGGGAAGACATGAAGTGTCTGATGTTAGACTAGAAAACCAAATCGATGGAAGAAACTGGGAATCATACCACGAGAGATCTTCCTTTTCTTTCTTTCAAATTTTTTTTATTAGGCCAGTCAAGTTCCTCTTGAACTTACTGCAGGTTAGGCTTGGGATCAAGGAAGGGAATAAACCAGTTGGACCAGAAAAGGACAAATATTTTTTAATAGAAGGGGTGAATTTGTCTGCAAAATGCCCACCTTTCTGACACTACAAATATTTCTCAGGATGTTCTACAGCATGATGATTGGGTTCAATTGTAAAGTAATGGAGGTTTTACTTTATTTAATTGCTACGAGAAAATCAGTTAAAGTAATTATCAACTTAGCCGCAACTATAGGCATCAGGCCACCAGAAAGTCAATAATGGAAACGCAATCCATCATCCATAAATAGATGTCAAAAGGAAAATGTTAGATATACCACGAACCCACAATAAATTTTTTATACACTTCTTGGATAGATGGAAAAATAAAGATTCATTCATAAATAATCAAATGATGAAAATTTAGTACTTGAGAGAGTAGATCAGCAGCTATATAGACTGGGTTGGCATGCTTGTCTGCGATGACTAAAACCTCCGATGGGCCTGCAGGCATGTCTATGGAAACCATGGCTTCACTGTTCTGCAGGAAGAAAATGTGAATAAACAAAATGTTGTGAGAGATAGAAAGGGATTTGGAGCTTTCAAAGCAAGATAATAACATACTTGGAGAATCATTTTTGCAGCTGTAACATACTGATTTCCAGGTCCAAAAATTTTCTCAACCTGAAAATTATCATAAAAGCACTAATCATGCTGATAACCAGATATACATGCAACAATAAGCAACTTACAATAGATCTTCCTAGAACAGTATGGAAAAGTATCTTTGTTGGTAAAAAATGAAAACTTTAAGGAGTGTTCGCCTTTAAACCCAAAGTTTTACCCTGTTTTATTTTTAAACTGAAGTAGTTCTATATGTACCTATAAATTCAAACAATTATGTGCATTTTGCCTTTAAACTCAATCTCTCAAATACAATACATACTTATGTGGTCCTCCCAAAAGAATGTAAATACCCCAAATTTGCCCTTTCTCCATTGTTGATCTGAGCGACCACTGCTCCATCCGATCATAATTAATACAATGGATGGCTGGAGAGAAGAAAAAAGGCAGGAGAAATTCCCAACTCCCTCTATTCTTCTTCATTTATTTCTCATTCTCTCACCTCCCATATTCACTCCTTTCTTTACTCAACTCTCATCAAACCCATTAAATACTTATCAAACCCATTAATGCACAAGTTTTAGATACTCTGTTTTGGTGGGGATTCCTCTATTCTTTGGTTTTTAAGGTATAATTTTTCACGGAGTTTAATTTTGAGCACTAATTCCTCATAAATGCAACAAAATTACAGTAATAACGAATTGAACAATTCCTACTTTTTGAGCATTAGTTCCACATGATCGTTTTGGACAATTATAATAGTAAAGTCTCTTCTTGATCGCTTTTAATCCTCATTTCATTGATCACAATTATTTCTCATGATTCCTCATGAATGTTTAGTACAATTAATAACAATTAACAATACAGTTAATAAAAAATAATAATATGAAAAAATTCAGAAATTTTGGTTTTAATTTGTTCTAGAGTTGTCCATTCACAATTTAACTCTCTCAAACTCTTATACTATTTTGAATGCATAAATCCATCCATCCACTCTCTTATTGAACAACATGCTTTGTCTTCACAAAATCCTTCCTCTTCACAGAGCACGTCAAGGGAAGTTGAAATCTCTAGAATGATTCCTCTTTCACGACACAATGCGATTAAAAGTGTTGGCTAGAATTTGTTGGTGTTATGCATCATCAACGGAGTTCAAGTAATTACTCTATTACTCAAGATTTCAACTTCTCCTTTGTGGAAAATGAACCTGGAAGAGTGACCATGAGATGCAAGGCCACAAACTGCAAATGGATGGTTCATCGCATCCGTTGTAGGAATTGCGAGCGATTCTATATGGGTGGAGGTTTATAGACGAGCATGTTGTAAGTGGGCTGCTAATTAGATCAAATCCATCTTTAAGGAACAACCCACTTATCGCCCAAGACGAAGCTTTATAGGGAATTTGGTGTGGACATCCCTTATCATAGAGTATGGTGGGGAAAAGAGCTAGCTCAATGTAATTAGCATAGATTGGCCAGATATTCATATGACCAACTCAAATACAAGAAAAAGATTACAGAAACTAATATGGGATCAATTGCTATACTTATGACTTTCGTTGCTATACTTATGCCTTTTGTTGCTATACTTATGATTTTTGATGCTATACTTATGCATATTGAAATTTGGTCTTACCATATTGAACATGAATGGTTCTAGAACAAATTAAAATTAAATTCTGATTTTTTTCGTTTTATATTAATTGTACTAAGCATTTACGAGGAATCATGAGAAATAATTGTGATCAAATAAATGAGGACTTAAATTGATCAAGGAGGAAGCTTTAATACTATAATTGTCCCAAATCTGTGGAATTAAATCTAAAAAGATATGAGATGCTCAATTTGTTCATTGTTGTAATTATGTTGTATTTATGAGGAACTAATGCTCAATATTAAACTCAGTGAAAGTTGGCCTAATTTATACCTTAAGAAATCCAAAAACAAAGGAATCCTCACCAGAACAAATTATCCAGATCTTGTGAATTAATGGATTTGATGAGTATTTAATGGGTTCGATGAGAGTTGAAGAAAGGAGGGAGTAAAGGAGGTCAGAGAAAGAGAAATAAGTGAAGAAGACAGGGAGTTAGGAATTTCTCCTATATATTTCTTTCTCCCCTGTCATCCATCGCATTAATTGAGATTGAATAGAACAATGATTGCTTAGAGAATAGAGGGAGAGAAAGAGAAAAATTAGGCTTTTCAAAATTTTAAGGGGGGACCACATAAGTACATATTATATTTGGGAGATTGGGTTTGGGTTTGGGTTTATAGGTACATATAAAACTACTTGGGCTTAAAAATAAAATCTAGAGTAAAATTTTAAACCTAAAGGCAAATACACAAAGTTGGTCAGGAATTCAAGTGTACAGAAGCGTCCAATACAAAAATATTCTTCAAAAGATGACATAGGGATGTCTTTGTGTGCATTATTGATGACATACGCTGAAAAGCGATGGATTAACATAGTTAAACAAACATGATACAAGTTTGGATGACCGCAGGAGTGTACTTGTTTAACACTTCTTTCTATCCTCACTTAAAAGATCCGTTTTATATATTATTTCTAAATCTATATGTTCTCTAAATACAATGACATCCTACTTTCTATGTCTAATTACATGAGATATTTCTTTCCTATGACATGGGTGTCCAAGTTTTGCGTCATGTCCAAGTGCCAAACATGGAAAAATTTTAAAAAAATGAGTTTCCTCAAAATACTGTATAAGATCCATTATGAAGAATCACACCTACAACTCCAGGTCTCATGGTCGAGAATTTTAATATCTTTTGCATCCTAGTATAGCTGTCATGTGAAATGGGATACATTCTCTTTGTAAACCAATACTTTCAGTATAATGTATGTTTAATTGATAAATAAACTACGAATTGTGTGAAACAACAAACAGTAGTCAAGAGCTCTCCCTAAAGCAAAAGAGTCATGTTGAAGAAAGTTGAGAAAATTTTAATTCTAGTGCTCAAGTTTTTCACTTCCCACTTTACCATAAGCAACCATAAGGGAGGCGCATGGGGGAGGGTCTCCTTAAATTAATAAAGAGGTACCTCCTCCCTGAATCATACATTTAAATTTTAAACTATTTGATTATATCATGAAACAATTACTATCTATCACTGGTTAAAAACCATACAAAATGCAAGATGTTGCTAAAATGAGAATAAGAACTTGCCACATAAAACAAAAACAAAAAAGATTCTTAAACTAAGGCAACAAAATGAGAAGACCAGTTCATGATCCATGAGATATACTGTCAAAGTCACTACCTTTGGGCATGATGCAGTACCCCAAGCCATGGCTGCAATTGCCTGGTAACATAGCAAAGTTAGAATTCCCGAATAACAAGAAAAGAAACAATCTAGCAAACAAAGAACTCCATTGAATTTGCACCTGAGCCCCTCCGGCTTTTAATATGTGAGTAACACCAGCTCTCTTGGCACAATAAAGCACCTCCTGCAACAAATATTTATTAATTTTTTACAGTAATTATAGTAATAAGATCTTCGAGAGAAAGTCCACCTTGCATACGCTTCCATCACTACTTGGAGGAGTTGCAAGAACAATAGTCTTGCATCCAGCAATCTTAGCAGGCTGACAAAGAAAATACTAAAATGTCAGCCTTCTTAGCTTTACTCAAGTATAACAAAGAAAGCAACAATAAGTATAATGAAACAATTGACAGCAAGCATACCACTGAAAGCATTAACGCAGTTGATGGTAAGACAGCAGTTCCCCCTGGGACATATAAACCCACAGCAGCGATGCCCCTGGCTATTCTTTTGCATCTGACACCCTATAAAAGCAAAAGCAAGAAAAATTAAAACCTATCAAACAATGTGAATACAAATTAAACATGGAAGTAAATGTGTACCTTCATATTCTCGATAATATTCTCGGGAGCCCTTTGAGCAAGATGAAATGCAAATATATTGTCATATGCCACATCAAACGCTTCCTGCACAGCTGGATCTAGCTGCATTTCAGTTAACAGACAGTAATGGTATTCATTCAGCACAAAGCATTCAGAAAATTAGCAATAATGCTAGCTAAAAACAAGTGAATATTAATAACTTCTAGATGCAAATTAACATATTATGAAATATTTGGTTAACACTGACCTACCTCTGGGTCTGGAAGATCAGAAACAACCTCTACCACTTTGTCCAATACAACTTTGTCGAACATCAAGGTATAACTGCAAGATTGAATTGCAACTGATCAAGCAACCAAAGCTTCAAAGTTCGTTAAAACTAATGCTATAAAACATTATATATGGGCAATTATATATGAGCACATCGAAGAAGAACCAACTCTACAACAGCAGCATCTCCTCTACTTTGCACATCATCCACAATGGGTTGCACCTAATTCATTGACACGCATTAAAGTTAGTCAAAATTTAGTACTGTCAAGCAATAGATAATTTAAAAACTCACCACACGGAAAATGGAAGTGAAATCAATGCGAGGTCGAGCCTTAAGACCATTGATCTCAGCATGACTGAGCTCCGACAGCTTGTAAGATTTCATTGCACACCTAACCGTTCGAACCCTAGAAACTGCAACAAGATACAATAACATGAATAAAAAAGTTCTTTTTCTATGTAATCAGAGGTAAATTAGGTTAATCATATATCAAAATTGCACCTGCAGACAAGCAGCGCGATTTATGGCTTCCGCATTTAGGGTTAAAAAATATTTGAAAATGTTGAAATTTTCGGGTGTTAATGACTTGATTCGTTCCGGTCAAAGACAAAACTGCAGTGTCCATCCACTGCCTCGTATTCTGAATTCCTGAAATTATCTCATGTTAAAAAAATTAACCAAGAATTGGAGAACATAACTGATCCGAACTAGAGAAATGCATATGCGCTTTTTTCACGCAGATAACGAGTTTCACTGGGACATCTCAGAATAATTGAACGGTATTGGAAGATACAAGATAGAGGCCCGTGGGCACCTTGACAGTGCAAGGAGAGACTCATGCCCCATGGACTGGAATGGATTGTTTTCAGTATTATAAGATATTACATGCAACTGGGTCGAGGACGCTGAGGTCTTAGCCTCTTAGAGACTTGCACATTAGAAAAGCAACGAGAGAATGAAACACCCACATAGTCATGATGAGATCGACCTGTTTGGAAAACATTAGTGAAGGGCATGTGCTTGGTTCATTTTTTTGGACATAGTGATTTCGCTAATAAAAATCACCATGCATGGTAACTTTTTTTCAGCACAAAATTACACTTAAAGAGTTCTTATATATGCAAGACCATGCCACAAAGCTGATTATGTTGACAAGTACTAAAGCCTCATGACTTGAATTTGCTTAAAAGAAAACAAATCATAGCCAAACACGTAGAGTAGTAGACCACAGTAGATACACAAATTATTGCTTCCACTTCCAGCAATGAGGAGGGTTAGAACTTAGAGTCTCGCTGCAAAATGAGAGAAATTTTACTTTAAGCATTTTCAAAGCTAGATTCAGCAAAAGGAAATTTGCAGGATCTCATCATGATATAAATTATAAATAAACTCCAATATGCATACTTCAAGATTTTTTTATAAATAATTTCAAGAAAATTATATGGAATCCACCTTAAATTGATCGTCATTTAAAGAATTTGTTGTAGCAATAGCCAAATATTTGAGAATTATCTCACAAAAACGTTGAGACCGAATTAATTATAACAATAAATTTATGGTTTTTCTTGCTGATCATGGGTTTAAAGCATTCACTGCCTCAGAAATGCTCAATGAAGATAAATTCTCAGCAATAATGGCAGGGAAAAACACAGAACATATTAGAAAAATATATTGAAAAAGTTACCTGCTGAAGAAATGGTGGAAATGGAGACGGATGAAGGCAAAGACTCCCAAAAGATAGCTTTTTTAGGGCTAGATTGTAGACTAGACACTCCAGAGTACACGTAGCAATGAGTCAGATTTGGATGGACAATCCACTAAACTGATGGTTTACTTTATTCCGATCCAAAAAACCATCAAATTTTATTTTTATGCCCAAATTTAGAAGAATCTAGTAAAAAATCCCGATGATTCCAAGCTAAACAGTAAATCTTCACACGTCAAAATTAGTATCACAGGCAACGACATCCATTGATCCCGCGGTCTACTGTACCGCAGTCATAGAAATAAACAGAGATTCCCTTACAATTTCTCTCGCCGGCCAAAATTACCCTAAATTTCACTATGCTCTTTTCTATTTCTTCGTCCAAAATTACTCCAATTTGAACCAGAAATCATTAAATCATTCCCAATTTTCACCCCTTCGACCATGGTGTTTTCCGAGAACTGTCAAAGTGTCCATTCTCCATTTAAGTGAGCTTCTCCATCCGAAAGTTTCATCAGTGACTTTGTTGCCTCGGAGGATGACCCGATGTCGAACAAAGGGATATGAAGAGAGAGAAAAGGTAACAAGTATCAACATAGATCTAGAGTGAGGAGAAACCAAAGGTAAGCAAGTAGAATCTAGCATAAATTTCACATGAATTGCCTTTATTATGGTCCTAGTGGAACTTATTGACCTTAGGCTCGATAACTAGCACCAAGCACCCTTCATCCTATACAAAAATTTAACTTTCCATCCAAATTCTTTTTTATATGATCATTTCACTGTTTCTTATATCAAGATATCCTCCACCCCCGTGTTCTACGCTCTCCCAGCCTTTTGTTTTCTTGATGACACTGGTCCTTTTCATGTTGATTATCATCAACTATTGGTATTTCATCCCCTCGTCAAGAACACCTTCTAATTAGAAAGTGGCAGATAAATTCTTGAAATAAGTAGTGGCACTTATGAGAGGAAGTATGAGGATGTTTGTAGATGTCTGGCCTTCTAGTTTTTTTAACTTCATCATGCTAACAGATATCTGTAGATGCCTCTGGTCCTTTTCATGTTGATATCATCGACTATTGGTATATCATCCCCTCGTCAAGAACACCCTGGCAAATAAATTCTTGAAATAAGCAGTGGCATTTATGGGAAGAAGTATGAGGATGTTTGTAGATGTCTGACCTTCTAGTTTTTCTAACTTCATCATGCTGGCAGATGTCTGTAGATGTCAAGCGAGGAGAAACTCTTCCTATTCATATAAACATGACATTCCCTGCATTGTCTTGTCAAGGTATGTTGTGTGCTTTTGTACCTCTTGACCTTTTTGGTACTATATGGATTTAGAATTTCATTTTCTACTGCACAATAGTTCTTGAATTAGCGATTGTAAAAGTTAGCCAGCCTTTTGCTTCTTCACCATAACTTTGATGTTCAATTTTGTTCAGTACTAAGTATTGATGCTATTGACAAGTAGGGTAAACATGAGGTGGATTTGGATACAAACATATGGAACGTAAAACTGTTATTTCCCGTGCTCTGCATTCCTTATTCGGCTAATTATTATGTCTATATACATACGTGCATACACTGACTCGAGAACACACTTTTTTAACTGTACATGCGGTACAGTAGACCGCGAGATCAACGGATATCGTTGACTGTGATACTAATTTTGACGTGTGAAGATTTACCATTTGGCCCAGAATCACCGGATTTTTTACTAGATTCTTCTAAATTTGGTCATAAAAATCAGATTTGATAGTTTTTTCTATCGAAATAAAATAAACCATCGGGGTTAGTGAATTGTCCACTCGAATCTGACTCATTACTACTTGTACTCTAGAGTGTCTAGTCAACAGTCTAGCCCTAAAAAGCTGTCTTTTGGGATTCTTTGCCTTCATCCGTCTCCACTTCCATCACTTCTTCAGCAGGTAAAATTTTCAATATATTTTTCTGATATGTTCTATGTTTTTTCCTGCTATTATTGCTGAGAATTTATCTTCATAGAGCATTTCTGTGGCAGTGGATGATTTAACTAAAATCAAACAAGATTAAACTAAAAGTAACTAAAACTGAACAAAATTAAACTAAAATTAACGAAAATCAAACAAGATTAAACTAAAACTAGCTTTACTAGACAAATTAATTAAACTAAATAACTAATTAATTAAAACAGTAAATAAGTTTAAAAAACAGTTCATAAACTTAAAAAAATTAAAAATTTTACCTGAATGGGGACTGCAGGAGAGGGGGGACGTGGTTGAGGACTTGCGGGAGCGGCGGCGACGAGAGAGGTACAGCGGGGGAGGGAGAGAACGTCGAGACGGAACAGAAGTGTCAGTCGAGAGAGAGGGCGGGCGTCCGTGGAGGGCGTGCGGAGGGTTAAGGAGGAAAGAGAGATAGGGTTTAACTGTTTAGGTGAGTTATGGGTCGCGTGCGGGTAACGGTAAGGGTTTTGGGTCCATTTTGTTTTTTAATTTTTCAAAAGGCTAGACGGTCTAGCGGCGGCCTAGGCGGAGCGGCCGTCTGGGCTGGCTTGCTCAGGCCGTTTTTAGGTGGCCGAAGCCCCGTCTATGCCTAAGCGCTTAGGCCGCTTTTTATAACACTGACAAAAGTATGTTTTTTTTAAGGCAAAATTATATTTTAAGATTTCTTACATATGCAAGAATAGCCACAAAACTGATTATGTTGACAAATACTAAAACCTACATGACTTAAATTTCAAATACTAAAGCCTCATGACTTGAATTTGCTTAGTGGCTGTTTGTTTGCCTAAAAAAGAGGGAAATCAAAGAAATGAAAAACTATTTTTAAGAAAATTTGTTTTGGGAATGTTTGATTGGCTAAAAAAATAAGGAAATCAAAGAATTGGAGATGAGATGATGTTAGTTGTCGATGTGAGTGATTTTTTAAGAAAACTTGTTTTAATTTTGTTTGGTTGGCGAAAAAAATAAGGAAATGAATTATAAGAAATTTTTTTTCCTGTAATAAGTTGTTTTCTTTTGTTTGGTTCATTCTTAAAAATAAAAAAATAGATGAGATGAGATGAATTATCATTATATTATTGAATGATGTGACTTACACTTAAGGAAATCGTATTCCTAGCTTTTTGGGGGGAAATGGGTGGAAATGAAATGTTAATTGAGATGAGATGAGTTGTCACCATCTTATAGGATGATGTGAGTGATTTGAAATGATGAGATGAGATGAGTTGAGTGATGTTGTGGATAAAAACAATATTTTATTAGATATAGTGAATGAGTTGTTGGATGAAAATAATATTTTATTAGATGTTGTGGATGAGTTGTTGGATAAACATAATTTTTTATTGGATGTTGTGTGTAAGTTTTAGGGATGGAAATGGATGAAATTGCATTTTTTGAGATTTCCATCTTTTCATTTCCATTTCTTGGTTTTTAGGAAATCAACCAAACAGATTAAAAGAAAACAAATCATAGTCAAACACGTAGTGTAGTGGTAGACCACACTATATGCGCAAATTATTGCTTCCATTTCTAGAAAAGAGGAGGGTTAGAGCTTATAATCTCGCTGCAAAATGAGAGAATTTTTCTTTAAGCATTTTCAAAGCTAGATTCAGCAAAAGGAAATTTGTAGAATCTCATCATGATATAAATTATAATAAACTTCAATATGCATACTTCAAGTTTTTTTATTAATATTTTCAAGAAAATTGTATGGAATCCACCGTAAATTGATCGTCATTTAAAGAATTTATTGTAGCAATAGCCAAATATTTGAGAATTATATCACGAAAACGTTGAGACCGAATTAATTATAACAATAAATTTATGGTGTTTCTTGCTGGTCATGGGTTTAAAGCATTCACTGCCTCAGAAATGCTCAATAAAGATAAATTCTCAACAATAATAGCAGAGAAAACATAGAACATATCGGAAAAATATATTGAAAATTTTACTTACCGAAGAAATGGTGGAAGTGGAGACGGATGAAGGCAAAGACTCACAAAGGAAAGTTTGTTTAGAGCTATACTGTAAACTAAAGATTCCAGAGTACAAGTAGCAATGAGTCAGATTCGGTGAACAATCCACTAACCCGATGGTTTATTTTATTTCGATACAAAAAACTATCAAATCTGATTTTTATAACCAAATTTAGAAGAATCATACTTCCTTTAAAAGTACGAGTTCGAGAAAATCTTTCTATAGTCAATATTACCCTTAACTTTTTTAAAATATTACAATGTTATTCTAATCTATTCTAATTATCCTATCTTCTTTGAATTGGTAGTTAAATGATTTATCCTATTCATAATGAGATAACATGTTATTGGATAAAAGAGATACGTTTGATATAATTTAAATTCATTACTTATTTTAGTTTGCAGAGAAATCTAAAAAATATAGGGCAGAATTTTAAAACAGACCCCTTTACAAAAATATTCCCAAAAAAGACCTGTTTTTAAAATATTCGCAAAAAACGACATAGTTTTACCCTTAGGGCTAAAGCTGGGTTGTTTTTTGCGAAAAATATTCCCAAACTTCACGGAAGTTGAACTCCCGTGAAGTTTTTTTCAAAATAAAACTTCACGAGAGTTGAAGTCCCATAAAATTTTGTTATGAAAAAACTTCACAGGAGTTCAACTCCCCTGAAGTTTGGGAACATTTTTCCCAAAAAACGACCTAGTTTCAGCACTAAGGCTAAACTAGGTCGTTTTTTAAAAATAAAGTGGAAACGGGTCTTTTTTTGGGAATATTTTTGCAAAGGGGTCTGTTTTTAAATTTTGTCCAAAAAACATATGCTAGCCAGCACCTAAAAGTATTTGGACTTTGAAAAAAATATACTCTAATTTTTTAAATTTGTAAAAAAAACACCCTACAAATTTAAAAATTTATTAAAACACATTAAAAATTATAAATTTTACTTATTTTAATTCAATGAGAAATTTGAAAAACATATGTTAGTTAGAAACTGAAAGTTTTTTTACTTTGGAGAAAGTATATTGTAAGTTTTAAAAATTACAAAAACACCCCTATAATTTTAAATTTTGTAAAAAAGCACCTTGAAAATTGCAAACCTATAGACACACTAAAAACCTACAAATAACACAAAAAAACCCCAAAAAATTATAGAATTTGCAATAAACACTCTAAATTTTTTATAAATTACAAAATAATGCAAAATAAAACCCTCAAAATTGTAAAATTATAAAAATCCTGATAATTTCCAACCTAATAGTTCATTAAAAATATAGAAATTATAAATATCTCCTACATAATTTATAATTTATAGAAAACACCCTTAAAGTTTTAAAAATTACAATCAAACACCCAAATTTCAAAACTTACAAAGAACACCATGAGAATTTCAAACTCATTAGTAAATTAAAAACATAGGAAATATAAATAGTCTATAAATAATTTACAATTTGTATAAAAGGCCTAAAACTTTTAAAAATTACAATAAAAACCCCTAAAATTCATAATTTATAAAAAAACACTATGAGAATTTCTAACCTACAAACACTAAAATGAATATACAAAATTACTAACAACCCCTAGAAAATTAAATTTTTTAAAAAATATCATGCTCTCTTTAAAAATATAGGTTTAGAAAAAAAATTCATGGTTAATATTGCCCATAAAAAACTTTTGGAAAGAACATAACTAATTAAAAATCTATTGAATTTGA